TTGGTTTTGGGGAAGTAGCATGAACCACGGGACAGCTTGTTCAAAAGTTTTCCGGCAGGTACGTTTTCACGGCAACATGGATGGGTCTTCGTTGGCCCATGCCATCCATGCGCCCATGGGCCCCCTGCCTTTGATGAGTTCACGTCAGTGGAAAATGGAAAATTGGAACGGTCTCGGTGGTAGTGGAAAGGTGAAAAGGTGGGAAACCCTTAGAACCAGGGTGTGACACACACACACACTCGCAAATTGTAACTTACCTTTTTGCCACGCGCCCAACTCCCCCAGAATTTACAAGGAACTGGGGTGTTCGCCTGAGTTAATTACATTTTAGCATACTGAAAATCACAAACACACACACAAGCGACTCCACGAAGCGCAAGCAGGGGGCAAGCAACCAGGGGCATCAAACAGCATGGAATATCTTTGTTCTCATGCGCAATAGAACAGGCAGCTGTGCGAGATTAGAATGACCTCTGCTTTGTTGTGTAGCATGTGGGTGACCCTCTGTCATGCCTGGGTTTTGCTTTGTTGCCTTCCTTTGGGGTCTTGAGTGGGAACATGTATGTTCCTTTTTTTTGGCAGGGTGTGTTTCCTGTTCTTCTTTGTTGATGATGACTCAAAACAACTGCTGCTTTCTTGCTTTGTCTGTGTTGCTGTTCTTCTTTGTTGACGACGACTCTGACGAACTGCTGTTCCATCATGTGTGCTTTCTGCAAACGCAAGCAACACAAACGCAATTAAAGGCACACCCGCAAAAAGCCAACAGGAAAGGGAAAGAGCACACACCCACACACACAGTGTGATTGCTACATAAAGCTACATATTGGAACAAAACGCGTCCCAAAGATGCATTCGCAACATGTTGCAAAAGCATGCAATGCCTCTGACATCATGTTTCCACAAGTGCCCAAAACAGAAAATCATGACAATCTTTTGAAACATAAAAACACAATTTCCAGAACGCATCAGAAAGCAGGCGCCCTCTCAGGACCAGGGTGCAGGCAAAAGGTGAGATTTGCAGACGTCAAAAATTGTAACTCGCAATGAGTCGAAGCTGTGCTGGTTTAGCGTAGTTGCCGGGGTCACGGGGTTAATCCGAGGCATCTGCGCGGTAAAAACGGTAAACGTAAACAAATTTCTTCTTTTACCGTTTTTACCGGGGGGGGGGCGCCCCTTTTTCTCTACCATATCCGCGGTAAACACAATAAAAATCGCTTTTTAAAACCGTTTTCCCCGGGGGGGCAACCCTTTTTCGTCTAGCATATCCGCGGTAAAAACGGAAAAACGAACATTTTGTTTTTTTACCGTTTTTACCGGGGGGGCGCCCCTTTTTTTCTAGCGTATCCGCGGTAAAACAGGTAAAAATCAAACATGGTATGTTTTTATCGTTTTTACCGGGGGGCACCCCTTTTTCTTCTACCACATCCGCGGTAAAAACGGGCAAAATCGAAAAATCCTTTTTGTTTAACGTTTTTACCGGGCGCTTCCTTTTTCAATACCATATCCACGATCAAAACGGTACAATTAATTGTTGTTCTTTTTGTACCGTTTTGATCGAGGGGGGCAAACGGGTCTATATGTGTTTTCAGTTTTTAACGGAGGGTCACCGCTGTTTCTTCTGCCATATCCGCGGTAGGTAAAAATCGAAAGTTTTCGATCCAAGTGATGTAGGCTTTCATTGCCCTGCAAAAATTAAAAGTCATGAAATTTTGATCAATCACCAAACTCCTCTTGTCGAAAAGGGCACACGCTCCTATATGGAGGAGTGAACCCCACCTGGTTATAGGAAGATACCCGGGCTGTAACATTAAACCTTTTTGTTGACAGAGGTCTTCTAGCTTGCGACCTGGTCCGGAGGCATTCTCGTGGTAAAAAACGGTCCAAAGTGAAAATTACTACTTTTGTTGTTTACCTTCTTTAATGAAGAGTCGCTTGCTCTTTTTGCTCCTAGCATATCGTTAAAAATCAAAGTTGTGTTATTCTCCGTTTTTGTAGGTGGACTTGTCCTTTTCTTTTCTACCATCTCCGTGGCAAAAAACGGTAAAAATCTTCTTTTTTAATCTTTTTTACTGGGGGGCGCTCCATGTTTAAATTTTATATCCGCGGTAAAAACAGTAAAAAAAAGATATCTTTTTTTACTGGGGTGGCGCCCCTTTTTCTCAACGATATCCGCGGCAAACGCGGTAAACATCGAAAATTGATTTTTTTTTCCGTTTTTACTGGGGGGCGCTCCTTTTTCTTCTACCATTGTATTTTTTACCGTTTTTACCGGGGGGCGCTCCTTTTTCTTCTACCATATCCGCGGTAACAACGGAAAAACTCGATGTTTTTTACCTCTGCAGGGTCGCGAAAGGATACCCCTTAGCAAAACAACGCTCGCGAACCAGCTTAGCACGCATCCAAACCCTCAGATTTTGCAGGGGTTACCTGGGTTATGTGAGAAAGGTTCACCTCACAAATTGTAACTTACATTTTTGCGACATCCCAGCCCCCCCAGAATTTACAAGGAACTGGGGTGTCTCCCTGAGTTAATTACATTTTTGCATGCTGAAAAACACACAAGCAACTCCGCGAAGCGCAGGCAGGGGGCAAGCAACCAGGGGTCAAACAGCATTGAATATCCTTGTTCTCCTGCGCAATAGAACAGGCAGCGTGTGGATGATCCTCTGTCCTGTTTGGGTTTCGCTTTGTTGGTCTTGAGTGGGAACATGTATGTTCCTGCTTCTTGGCAGTTTGCTCTGGGCGTGTTTCCTGTTCTTCTGTGTTAGCGCAATAACTAGGTAGGCAGCGCGCAGGTGGGGGGGGCCGGGGGGGTTTAAAATGTAAGTTCAGGCGGCAGGTTGCAAGTTGCATTTTCCAGACCCCCCCCAAGCCCTTCGATCTGGCGACGCGCCCTAGGGGGTGGTTTTGAAAAAGTAAGCTCCGGCCTGTCACACTGCAAGTCAGACCCACCCCCCCCAGCCCTTCGATCCAAGTTAGATGTGTTTTTAAAGGCGCCCTCCCCCCTTGACCCGTTTCGATGGTGCCTGGTGGGGGGGTGTAAATTACATTTTTAGACCCCCTAGGGGCACACCCTAAAATGTAAATTACTTTTTTGGGCCCCCTCCCCGGGGAGCTTAAGGGGGTAGGGATCTTCCATGGTTTATCCTTCAGTCTTGGGCGCCTGATCCTTGACTTTTTATCTTTTTGATTCTTGCCCCTATCAGACGGGAAGCCGCTCTGACATTGTCCCGCCTCCTGAGGTTCTTGGATTTGGCTCCGCGCTCATTGCAAGGAGCTTCTTGGAGGCCCATCTGCTTGACTGCGTTCTCGCGCTCCTTGGTGACTTTGGCACGGATTTGGCGCAACGCAAAAGCGTAGGTAGGTGAAGTCCATCTGGCCACCAACTCCACTCGATAAGGGTGGAGTACAGCAGACGCCACAACAAGCGTTCCATGGAGCCTGAGACTGTGGCGCTCCATGATCATCTCATAGGCAGGCAGCAAAGCTCGCGCATCTTGTCCAGCATGGTCGCTTTCTCTACAGCGTCCCCTCTGATGCGAAAGAAGGGTGGCTCTGCATTGTCACTTGGTTCACCAAATAGCTGGCGCACAAAATTGCCTGGCAATGTGCACGTGGAACAGAGAAGGGGTGCAAGACTGTCCTGTGTGGCAGCCTCTCGCCTCTCTCTCCCCTCTCCTCTCCCCTCTCCCCTCCTCTCCCCTCTCCTCCTCTCCTCTCTCCTCCTCTCCTCTCTCCTCCTCTCCCCTCTCCTCTCCCCTCTCCCCTCCTCTCCCCTGGTAATCTCCTCGCGACTAGCCCAGCCCATTGCGCCAGTCGGCGCGCCCTGTATGGCCATCTTGAGCCAAAAAACGGTTCATCACCCCCCACGCTCCAGAGTGTTTCACGCCCCGCTCCTTTGCTCCTATCAAACTGCGTGTGTTCCCCTCCACAAAAGAAGTTGACATTGTGGTGTTGTTCGTGCCCCTTCCTCTTACTCGAGCTTGGTCACCAGCAAGAACCTTCCTGTGGCTCGAGCGTTGCCACGCAAACGCTGCGCAAAACCAAGGTCAACAAGAAGACGCAGAACAAGAAGAACAGCGCAACAAAGAATCGAAGTTGACATTATTGCGCTGTTCTTGCTCTTTCCTCTTACTCGAGCCAACAAAACGATACTGATCAAGAATAAAGAAGCACATGATGAAAGCCTCCTGACCTTGGCATTCTCATCCTCCCCTTCCCGTTCTTCCTTTCTTATATAAATGTTCACGTGTGTTCTATACTTTTCATCGCCCAGTTTTCTGATTGACTTCGCAACGTTTCTCAATTTTCCAAGGTCTTAGAATTGTCCCAACGAGGTGGGAGGAGGACATGGAGAGGAAAAGCAATCAATGTTGAGTGTATCAATGTGTGTTGATGGCATAAAAGCCGGCCGACAATGGCCATTACCTTTGAACATTCCTGACTTGACGTTGTAGAAGAAGAAACCTTACCGGTGTGAGCATAGGGTCTGACATCCTGCTGATGGCATAGGGTCTCCGTTTGGATCTTTGTTACCTTTGAACATATTATCACTAGGAAAATTGGTTACAACATTGGGCGACATGAATTGAATTGCACGCAGGTACCAGCTCGTTCGCAGGTGAACGAGCCCGAGAGTGCACTCTACAGAAGGTCTATGGCAAACATTGGCGATACTGTGCGGAGTACAAGAGGCTTGCAATGAGTGCATCAGCATGTTACACGTAGCCTCTGTGGGAGGGCACCTGCCCTGCAACCTGAAACAGTCCGTTGCTTCACATGCAGTACTACAACAATATAAAGCATCCGATGTATATAAGATTACATAAGGTATTGTTACAAAAACACTTGTAGCGTCTTCGCTTGCCAGTGACTCTAAACATCCCCAGCCGCCCCCTAAAATATACCAGTAAGGTATGTTGGTGTTCACACGCTTGCATTTCCTTTCTAGGCATGTCTCCAACATGTTATGGTTTGATGCTTCAATTCTGCTTGGTGGCCACATCGCACATTGCAGCTGCGCTCCGTTGGACACACCGACCGAACTCATCAGCTCTGATTGCTAACACCCGGCCATCCTTAGTTGTTTTGCAATGCTTTCAAGAACGAAAATACCGAGGTTGAAACACATCAAATCGCTTCGGCGCTTCGTATAACCTCCCATCCAAGTTGCTGTTCCGGCCGAGAACCGCCCGGTGTGCTGCCACGATGCAGACCACAATGCGGCTTCGCTAAGGAAAGCACCCTTTGAAAGTTCGGTAGTGTCCTTGACAAAAAGTGTAGCAAAAAACTGAGCCAAAACATTCTTGATTTCTTTATATTTCTTCATTGCTCTAATGCGTATTAGATTTGCTGTGGAAACCTCGTTGGTCCTTAGCGTTGCAACCTTCTGCTGCCGGTAGTACTTGTTCACGGCGGCAGCATGAGCCTAATTCGGATCATCGCGGTTAGAGTTAGAGGAAGGTTGAATCTTCCTTATGGTCTGTGCTTGAACCTTGAACAAAACCAGCAGGCAAGCCTCAGCCCATTGCAGCTTGGAAGCCTTTTCTTGAAGGACGAGGCTCCAGCCGAACCGAACCTGCATGGTGTGCGCAAACTGACCGTCATAACAGATTGCTGCGACTCCTCTCTGACCTCCCTTGTCAGCATTCTCTCCACTGTCCGCTCATAATGGAAGCTTTCTGTGTTATATGGGCCAGTCTAGTTTCGGCAAATTAAAAGGAAAACGCGCGCGCCTGTACTTGGGAGATAGCCCAAACTACATCCAAAAGTGTGAGAACCAACAAATTTGGTGTCAAGATTTAACTGGGATAAAGACACAAAACAAACAAAGTCAACTACCGTAGGCCAACTAGTTAGCGGCGCTTGCCAGCTTCCTGTCCAATCATGTATTGCTACCACTTTGACATAAAGTTATGGTAAACTCCAGCTCGAATCGTATCAAACAACATACAATGACAATGGAACGTGTCTGCGTTGCTCTAGCTCAGCAATTGCTCCTTTGCTTACCGGACATGTGAGAATATACTGCAGGCCTCAGCACGCATGCGCGCCCGAACACACACCTCGCGGAAAGTCGAGGAGACACGCGCCTTCGCCAAAAGAAGCCACATCCATGCAATACAAGAATGTTCCAGCGTCACAAACATACATACCTCACGGAAGGTGACAACCACCGCCACTCGGAACAAACTTGGTGCCCACCCCATATAGATGGCTTATATAGGTCCCAAGTGTCCCTCTGTGGCCACTCAAGAATGCAATATCGAAATCGATTGAGATGTAAGTTTGGCACGAGAACTCATGACTTCGGGCTCGAATACAATATCACCAGCAATGAGATACATCCTGGGCAGCAATGCTTTCGCAGGCAAAAAGGCGTGGGAAAGTATGCCAAGTGGCTCGGACACTGCCTCATAGCCTCGCAAACACGCGCAACAGGGGTACATAATTACAGTACAGCAAGCGAGTGGATCACAACAGCATGGCTCAACAGCATAAAACACCATCTATTCTCTAAAGCAAGGAACAAATGTCATCATACACGTGATGAAACTTCCTCTCCATCTGCTCGAAAAGCGTGTGATGCGAGAGGCCATGACTCCTGAATCCACATCAGCTCTGGGTGTTTTAGCTTGCAGCAGGTCTGTCTTGTGCTACTCTTTGCTTCTCAGCAAGGGATGTAACAGTTGTACCAATGAACAGAAACTCCCAAGCACTGCCGTCCTGGCTGCACTCAACCTCAACTGGCCATGGAACACATCTACATCCCTACATTTAGACTCATGTCAAAGAAAGACACAATCTTCCGCAACTCAGCTGCGCCCAGTATTGTCGCTGAATCAAACAGTATATATATATATGATATGCAAACAATTGTCCCCGTTGCCCCTGGCCCTAGCACAATCATGCATTGCACAGTTCGCATGCCTCTGCCCACGCAGTTGTCTTTGCAGCCCAGAGCCCCGATCGGTTGGGTAAGGTGCAAAAGGCTCTGGATGGGTTGAGAAGGCTTGTTTCTCCGCTCTTGCTTTCACAGCGTGCTCTCACAAGACGATGCGCAAAAATCATAAACTGTGCTGATAGGACGAACGCACCACTATGTCAAGTGATGGCGCAATGTTTTTCCAAGTCTTTTGTTTTATCTGTAAAGTGTTGGGCAGATATTTTTCAGGGTTTCTTGCCCTGCATCGAATGCCCACAAGGCGGCACATAATTCGATCGAATAACTGTATAACTAACTTTTCTGGTCAGGAATGGCCTATCAACATGTCTGTTTCTCACAAATAAACATACACACGCATAATATGTATACACGCTCAGATGCAAGACTAACCTCCACTCGACTGCAATGATTTTGGTCAATTTTTGAGACCTCGGTGCACTGCAGGGGGTACCGTGATACCATTTAATGTGTATATATCTATATGGCGCATGAATGGTGCATAGTGCATGATAATGAAGCAGGTCTGGTGTATGGTTTTGTGTGAAGGTTTGGTACTCCTGACTCCTGATATCGATCTGAACTCAAGAGGTTTTGGATCTGGACAAGACCGTGGAACCAAGAACCAAGGTTCCCAGAAACTTTTCCAGCAGTCTGGGCCCTTACAACAGGGAAGAACTAGCTCAGGCTATATAGTTCTCCCTAATTCCCGAGAGCGCATGCGAAGGGTTCTTCGTAGAAAACATCTGCAGAACTACACCTCCTCTACATCTTCACAACATCACTTCTGCACAATCACGTTCTCATCTATATCTCTGCTCATCTTCACATCTGCACATCTACATCTCTGCTCATCTTCTCATCCTCACGTCTACATCTCAGCTCATCTTCATCTTCACACATCTACGTCTCTGCTCATCTTCACATCTGCACATCTACATCTCTGCTCAACCCTCTGCGGAGATCGTGCGTGTCGGATGCGCGAAACGCAGGCGAGAGTGCGATTTGGTTTTGTCGCGGGCAACCCTCTGCGGAGATGGTGCGCGTCGAGGGCGCGAAATGCAGGCGAGAGCGCGATTTGGCCCGGTCCGGCGCAACCCTCTGCGGAGATCGTGCGTGTCGAGGGCGCGAAATGCAGGCGAGAGCGCGATTTGGTTTGTCGCGGGTAAGGTTTATCGTCTTTCTAGCTGTTGTTTCTCTAGATTTGCTGGCGCCCTCCACATTTTTTGCTTATCCCAGGTTCTCAGCTTACATTTTCTCTGTAAAGTAGGAATGTCCTTCTGAAGGCTTATCTTCTTTCTAGCTGTAGCTGCTGTTTCTCTAGATTTGCTGGTGCCCTCCCCAATTTTGCCTCATCCAAGGTTCTCAGCTTACATTTTCTCTTTAAAGTTGGTATGTCCGTCTTAAGACTTATCTTCTTTCTAGCTGTAGCTGGTGTTTCTCTAGATTTGCTGGCGCTCTCCCTAATTTTGGCTTCTCCCAGGTTCCCAGCTTACATGTTCTCTTAAGTATGTCCTTCTTAAGGTTTATCTTCTTTCTAGATGTTGTTTCTCTAGATTTGCCGGCGCCCTCAATCATTGCTGTCGAGCGCGCAGCTTGTCACAGGGTCACACGCTTGGCTGAAATGCTATGGTGGCCATGCATTTTCAAGCCTGCTTTCTGCATGTTACATTTATGTCTTGTCAAAAGCCAGAAGCAAATTTGCTGCTTTGGCCTTCTGAGAGAAGACGTCCAACCTCCCTAAGTTACATTTTTCTATCTATAAAAACAGGGGGGACCTGGACGTCAATAAATGTAAGTTACATTTTGTCACGACCCCCCCCCATGTTTTTTTTGCGTCTCTTCTGTCGGTGTTTCCCCCAGGGATCTTCCAGAGATCTCCAGTCCGCGCATGTGTTTTTTGGGGGGAGGGGGTCAAAATGTAACTTTGAAGCTTTCACAAACACAAAATGAAGCAACCTTCTATGCCTTTGCTTGATTTTGCTGGCTGCTTGAACAAGGTCCAACCCCCCCACCCCCCAAAAAAGGCCTGAAACTGATGGTAAGTTATCACCCCCCCGAAAAAGTAAGTTACAATAAAAAGGTCCCCCTGTTTTCAGTGCCTAAGGGGGTGGTGATATGGTGGTCACTTTTCATGGCAGGCGCAAGGGCAACCTCGTGTTTTGGTGGTCCAAAGTCGACTCTTCGTGACAGGTGCAAGGGATCGGAGCTGTTTTAAAACCGAAATGCAATTTTCGTGGCAGGCGCGGCGCTTTGGACATGGTGGTGATCGTCGAGGGGCTCAGATTTCGTGACAGGTGCAGTGAATCGTGACTTTTAGACATGTGGCTCGTTTGCAACTTTCGTGGCAGGCGCAGCGCTCTGTGACTCTGGACATCCAGGTGCAGCACTTTCTGAACCTCGAAGTGCAGATTTCGTGGCAGGCGCAGTGTTGGGTGAACCTCGAAGTGCAGATTTCGTGGCAGGCGCAGCGTTGGGTGAACTTCGAAGTGCAGATTTCGTGGCAGGCACAGCACTTGGTGAACCTCGAGGTGCAGATTTCGTGGCAGGTGCAGCTCACTCTCACTCTCTCCACTCACTCACTTTCACACTCACATTCAAACTCACTCTCACTCCCTCACTCTCACTCACACCCACTCTCGCTCGCTCGCTCGCTCGCTCACTCTCACTCTCACTCTCACTCTCACTCTCACTCACTCTCTCTCACTCTCACTCTCTCTCACTCTCTCACTCCCACTCCCACTCTTACTCACACCCGCACTCACACTCACAGACACTGACACTCGCACTCACACTGACACTCACACTCATAGTCACACTCACCACCACCGCCAACATCACCACGATCTCCACCTTCATCACCACCATCACCTCTCTGGACCCCAATGCGTCTAGATCTCTAGACTTTCTGCTTATAGACCTCACACACACACTGTTTGGGGTCTCTTGCCGGGATATTTTTAGAAGAGAAAACCTCAACGCGCCCAAAGGAACGTACACACATATATATATATATACAAATAAATAGAATATGCCGAGTTCAGGAATCCCAACAGGTGCACTGCCCAAATGCCATAAAGAGGTCTCTGCAATGTGGAAGGCTGGCTGTGTTTAGGTTTCACACAAAGGCGGCGTTATTCAGGTTGAATATGGTTGAAAAACAGCAAAACCGATGACAACAAAACCCCATACCTGATTGTCTGAAAAGGTGCAGTATTCGAAGTAGTTCGGGTGGCAATGCACTATTTAGCACCTCTGCGCATTTCAGCAATGAATAGAATCTGTAAACGAACGCTGTGACAAAAGGGACGCTGACTTCAACTAGATCTCACATCTCACATTGCCTCCAGGTTTTCTTTGTATCTCCTCCGCTCCTGCAGCGGTTTCCTAATGCTGGGTAATTCGCTCAGGTCCAAAGAGGTCCATCTATGTGTCTGCAAAGTACTGTTATGAACCACGAACGCGTGCGCCTCTTCGTGCTCCTTGGAAGCAGCGCTTGCAACGACAGGCAGGAGAATGACACCAGAAACTTCAACAGATTCTGACAAGATTCAACATATTTTTTCAGCCTCACAGTCAGTGTTGTGCTGACGCCGTGGGTTGCAGCGTATTCTCCTGACAGGTCAGTTCACTGCCAGGCAGCCTCTCCTTTAGATTCAAGGAACATGTCTAAAGATGTCTAAAGATGATAATGGCTGCCTAGCTGCCGACTGCTGCCAGCTTCAGACTCCGCTCTTTCCATAGTCGTGCAAGTTTGGCCATCGTGTTGGTTACATAGCCTCGAGGGGTGTTGCACCGAATTATTTGCGCGATTCCGCTCTCACTCTGAAGTGTACAGTTACAAAAACAAGCAACGCCAAGCTGCTGATAAAAAGAGAAGAAAAAAGCAACGATCCGAAGCTTGCCAAAAGGGAGAACATACGTTCCTGAGGTAGCTTCAATTTCCTCAGACAGCTGCAGGATATGGATTCCCAATATCTGCAGTTTAGTTTGCAAACTAGTGCAATTTCATCTTGCTTTTCATAGCCCAGGATCATGTTGTCTCTCAGCGAGATTGGATGTAGCCTACTGCTTGGGTGTCAGGAAAGCAAAGCACTCAACCGAAAGACAATTACTGATTCAAATCCAATGACGGAAAGCGCTTGAAAGTATTTATCGATAGGTATGGGGAGGGGTGTGGGGAGAGGGTCCCCCTGATTTGCAGGTTTTGTAGATTGAATTTTAGTGGAGATGGGGCCGCAGATTTGCAGATTTTGGTGGCTTGGGATGAGGGTTGTGAAGGTGTGAAACATGTGTGGTGCACGGTGAAGGTGCAAACAAACACTAAAACATACAGTAAACAAATACGTTTCTGGAGGGATTGGGAGGCATGGTTTTCGGCAAACATGTGTCTATAAATTCTAACTAATTGTTAACAATTTGCTTTCTGCAAGCTTTTGGGCCTAGAATCGCAAAGGTGCAGTATAAAAACTGTTTTTTAGGTGTGTGGGGACGTAGGTTTTTGCGTTTTGTTATTTTCGTCGCCAAAAGTTTCCTATTTGTATGTGGGTAGATATTGTAGAAGGTTTTGGTGTGGGAGGCATGAAGAGTGCCATTTGGTAGTGTCAAGCTTTGCAGCTGTCTCTAGTCTCTTCCTGCAGAAACGGTACATCTACAATTCTTCGCCCATGTGCCTTGACAATGACCATTGCATGCTCATCAAATAGACGGTTCCTGTTGGACGCGTTAAACGAGTATATACCGGAAACACACACACACACACAATGACATGCCAAGTACTTGGACATCCCAATGCCAACTGTACTCATGCAAAAACCTGCAAACGCTGGTCCTAGATCATTGCCGGTCAAGCCTTCGATGTGCACCCAGCCTTCCTGAGCTTGCGCCGCGATGCTGGTCTAGTCTCGCCTCTTCGTCAGAGACTGTAGGAACTGACAGGATTGGTGGTGCGAGTGACCGTGGATCATCCAAGTCGTTGACAAAGTCTTTGCCCGTGCTGCCGTTCGCTACCAAGGTACTTTGCATGCCTTCACATCTGACGATCAAAGCCGTATCAATGCTGTGCTGATGCTTGAGAGGGTGACAAAGAAAGATACAGGGGGCAAGCCTGCCAAGACTAGATGGTGTCCCAGAAAAACAGGCTTTCATTGGACAAAGTGTCGGAAGATCAGCCCAGGCAAAGTAAAAGAAAACAGCAACAAAGAAGGACGCCAAAACAAAAAACACATACTAATATGAACACACGATCGACGCTTTGCGATTGTTATCCTGCATGCCCCAGGCCTACTAGTTATATACAAGTTACTTGCAGCGAGTTGTTTTCAACCTTTATTTATGATGCTGATACGACATAGCCAATTTCACGTCGCTTCACCGCCCACACCGCTTGCTTGCTTGCTTGCTTGCTTGCTTCGAGAGAGAGAGAGAGACACTTTGAAAGAACAAGATATGAGAAGGACGATGCAGTGGATGAATGGAAGACGCATGGGAAATAACTACAAATTGCAGACATTGTTGGATAAAAGTCGCGCCCCCTGAGAAATGTGGGCCGAATAATAGAGTGATTACAATAAACAAACCTGTACAATGTGCATGATGACCTAGGGGCCTAGGGGTGACAAGCACGATGCAGTGGATGAGTGAAAGAAGTATATGGAAAATCAGAATTTGCAGGCGTTGTTGTATATCAGCCGACAACCGCCATACTGTAGATTCTCATTGATGTCTCATTATCATTTGCATCACCAGGTACATGAAAGGCATGCTAACGATTCCTTACAGCAGTTTGGATCATCGTCGCTGAAAGAATGCCACTTCATGTCCTGTCCCAGATCATGTGGCACACCACCTCCACATCAAATGTTGCAAAGCCTTTCGTTTTCCTCCGCTTTTGTTTTCTTCCACCATCACACACCTCATGATGCAGGGTGTGCATTTCTGCTCCCATAACGCTCTAGGAGCTCAGTGTTCGCACCCCAACAGCGTGGGTGGATTTAGCTTAATTGTGGGAACACGTGTTTGCTTTGAAATGTGTTCTGCTTGCAAAGTGCTAAGTAAGTATCAGTACCAGGAAAGGGAAGCAAAGTACGTTGATGCTGCGCCACTTCCTTGAACAAGGCATGTGTGTTTGTCAATCCAGCCCATTATTCTTCCCTGGGCCCCTTCTGCAATGTTGTAAAAGGCAGGGCTCGGCAGGGGCCCCCACAATATTATAGGTCCACTATGCGCTGGAATGTTGGAGCAAAATCAAGGTTGTAGTTGCACACCATTTTTGAAGTATCAACCTACAGGGCGTTTCTGCTCAGATATATAGTTTGGAGACAGAATACCCAAGCGCTCCGAAGTTTATGGGCATTCAGATCGCAGACCTTTGGCAGCTTCTTTCCGAGCAATTGTGTTGGGCACATTTGTTTTCGCCAGATGCAATCTGGCACCAGCATTATTGAGGGTCCAGTACAATCAGATCGTTTTACAAAGCGCACAAATATTATTAGTAGTCTTGATACAGTAGGTGTCAATGCTTGATTGATTCTTTTCCACATGCTTTTGATGGCTGGCGTTGGGTGGGCTGCTTCGGGTATGGTTGATAGCTGGGAGCATCCAAAAAGATTGATGTTTTTTAAGCAACAGGAATGGCATCGCTGTGGAGATGGCATTGTCCCTGCTACATCTACTGCTTCCCCTAGTTGGTCCCACAGCCAGCCATGGAAAACATATTTAATAACTCATAATATTTCTACATATATCCTGGCACCTATACCTTTCACCCAAAAGACTCCGTACATAGGTATTGTCGTGTTTGTATGTGTTGGTGTTGGGACATGGTCGTGTTCCCTTAAATGCAACAAGCTGCAACCGAAAAAGACTTCGCTGCTCAAACACAGTTCTTTTCCGTCGTGACCCCGGGTCGTCTCCGGACCACTGAAGGTCTTGGTGAGGTCTTGAAACCTCATTGAAAAGGGCTGCGGCATTCGCAGCAGTTCGAACAAAAGCGTGTCATCCTTGCTCAGGGGCCATGCATCAACACTCCCCCTGGCTTCGTTGAAGACACTTCGATGCCGTGCCCCCACCATACGAGTACTCCGGACACAAGGTCCTTCTTCCAGCATGTATGGTGGTGACAGGCCAACCGTCAGCTCAAGCCCTTTCTTCTCGCGGCCAACCAGGCCTTGTGGCAGCAGCGCAAAACCAACAATGCCCATGCATTGATTGAGGACAGCTCAACTGCAGGATGCCAACCACAGACCAAGATGGCCTGATCTTCCTTTCTTTCATCTTTTGTGGTCTTTGACCTCATCAAAACCGCAATGCCAGCCGGCATTCATTCCATCTTCAAGGCCAAAATGGCCATAGGTAGGCCGCCGTGTGACCTCGGCAATCCCTTTTTCTTTCTTTCATCCTTTCTTCACATGTTGAGCTCCCGTTCACGAAGCTCCTGGAGGCATCGAACACATGGGGCATATTTCTTTTCAGCCCCAGTTGAACATGCAGGTGGCCGTGCAGCATCCACATGGTAGATCTCGCCCCAGCCACGAGACCAAAGGCGTTCACCCCTTCGGACATGGGCCATGTCGATGGTGAAGGCGCATCGATGGCATGGAGGTGAGCTCCGGAGCACGGATGAGGTGATCGTAGGGCATGAAGTGAAGATGTGATACTTCTGCCCATACTTGGTGATGTAAACACCCATCCCTTGGTACCTCCGGCCTCCATCTCTGATGGGCGGTTCGCCATCACGTTGGAATGCTCTAGGGCATGCCTTGGCGGCAGCTTCTGAAGGACCTGTTGGTCTTGGTTGAGGCGGCGTTGGATCCCATGCTTCATCGGCCATCATGTCACGGTAATCCCTCTCTGCTAGGATGGTAGAGGGTCTCATCATCATTGGCCGGAGGCTCCTGTGGTGGAACATCAGGTGGCACTTCATGATCACCAGCGGGAATCTCCTGTTCAGGCTCTTCCTGGATGCCAGTGAGTGTGACATCCGAGTGTGGCTGGGAGGTGTGTCCGGATGAACTCCTTTCTTCCGGAGTGAGGGAGGAAAGCCATCGCAGCAACCGCTCGCGGTTTTGCAGCCCGAACTGACTTCTCTCTTCGGCGGTCATAGGGCGAGCCGGACCATACGCCCAATCAACAGGTTCACCATCTTGAGGACCTCCCTTCCCTTGCCCTTTTCCTTTTTTCTTTCCTTTTGACCGGGCACTTGGCCTATTGACTTCTCGGCCTTGCCAATCAACCGTGATTGAACTTCCCTGGGATTCCGATGTGGAACTGCCAGGTGGCCCAAGTGCCAGTGCCGGCGGCTCATATAGTTGACCAGCAGCAGCGTCACCATCATTGATAGCTGTTGCCAGAAACCAAGCGCAGAGGCGCCTGAAAAGTAGGGTGACCAAGATGACAAGGATGGTGTACAGCATCATGAACAGTTGAAGCGGCTCGGAACCGGCTTGGTCAGAGGGATTCTCATCTTCATCACTCTGATTTCCTTGGGCCTTTGACTTGGCGATGAGCGCCATGAGTACCGCCAGCTGCAACTGTCGCCCGTTATAGTTCATCTTCTTTTGCTTTTCTTCATCCTCCTTTCTTCTTTCTTTGCTTATCGCCTCTGGGCCATCCTCCTTTTCCTTCTTTTCTTCACTTACCGCCTCTGGGCCATCCTCCTTTTCCTTCTTTTCTTCACTTACCGCCTCTGGGCCATCCTCCTTTTCTTTCTTTTCTTCATCCACCTTCTTTTGTAGAACCATGGACATCAATTCTTTCAGCTCCAAGGTGCGCTGGCTTGAAAGGGGCTTCGTGCCAAGGTCGGCCATCATGATGGTGCCGGGCATGTGTCTGACTCGCCAGTCGAGGTTGGTAATTCTCCAACGAACATGTTGTGCCCTCAGCCTCAAATGTCTGGTGTGCCAGTTGGCATGGCCATCGGAGAAGAACCCAGTGGCCGCAAGGTTGTCGACAAAGAGGGTCTTCACGTAGGGTTCCTCATGTTCTTGGATCATGCTATCAACTGCATCACCAGTTTGGAGACCTTCGATGGCTTCCAGCAGCTCCGACTCGGCAGTGGACAAAGCCGGAAATGGTTGGCGCCCACTTTTCCAGAACATCAGCGCTCCATTCCACAAAACCATCACAGCGCCGTGGGATGCCTGGGTTTCTGGCGAGGCCGCAAAGCTTGAGTCCGTATAGACCTCCAACGACTTTGGCCCCCCATCCCATCCTTCTCCCTTTCCAGGTTGAAATTCAAGTCCTTCGTTGGGAGTTGACTTCAGGTACTTCCAGACTTGGGTGGCCTGTTCAATCACCCAGGATGGATGTGGCAGAACTTCTTGGGCACATCGACTTGTAGCAAACGCGACATCAGGTCTTGTGCGCGTTGACAACCACATCAACTCGCCAACGAGCTTCTGGGCTGCATTGACCAGCTCTGGTGTGGGTTCTTCAGGCATCAGGACAGCTTCTTTGGACATCGGGACCTTCACATTCTTTGCTTCTGGGATCCCCTCCTTGTCCTTGATGTAGTCTTCTTGTGATGCCCGATATCCTCCCTCGATGGTTTTTGTGATCTCCATACCCAAAAACTTGACCTTTTCTTTTCCCACTTCTTCAGGCGTAGAGATCTCCCATTGGGCCTGTAGAACTTGGATCACCTGGTTGATGGTTTTCTCATCACTTGTAACCATCAGGTCATCAACGTAGACCAACAGGAATCCAACCATCTTTTCTTCACGCTCTTCATCTTCACCATCACCGAGCATGATGCTCCATAGATTGGGCTCGGCTTCGGCCTGGACAAAGCGATGTCCTTGGGGTGAGGTCAACTTCCTCAGTACCTGATCACGGTAGACCCCCCAACAGCGCGGAGACTGGCAAAGACCGTACA